ACCGGGAGGGGCCCGGGAGAGGAGGGGTGTCTGCCGCCGAGTTTCCCCTGCCGACGTTCAACTGGGGGAGACGCTGCCGGGGGATGCGGCGCGTCCTGCGTTGGGCGCGGGCAGCGGCCGGCCGAGAGCTCCGTGCAGCGGGCAAGCCGACTCCCCCGGGCTCATCCCTTCGCCTCCACGCTCCTACCCCTCTCTGCGCTCCGGCACCCGCAACGCCCGGCCTGGACCGCGGCGGGGTTTCCCTCCGGCTGGGACCGAGGAGGTGGGAAGGAGAGAAGGAGGGAGGGAAGAAGGAGCGAAGGCAGGAGGCAGGCCGGTGGGGAGGAGCGGGAGATCAGGTTATGAGGATTATTAATTTGGATGGCAGTTTAGGGAAACAAAAAAAAAAAACACTCCAGAGACTTTCCGACGCCCGGAAGGAACCGGAGAAAGCCGGCAGCAGCACCCGGCCTGCGGGCAGGTCCACGGCTCGGACTCTCGCTCGGGGCGGCTCCAAACTGCGGAAGCAAAGCCTGCCCGTAGCTCCCCGGCGCAGCCAGCCGCGCCCCGTGCCCTCCCCAGCGACCCTCCTAGGGGCGGAGCCTTCCGGGCTCCCCCCACCGGTACCTGCCGCCAGGCCCCGCGCGTCCCCCAGCACTCCGACTGCGGCCGCTGGGGAGCCGCAGGCTGGACCCAACCTGGGGATGCGGCGTGCTCTGTCTGCGGCCCGCGCAGCGCGGGGGGCTACACACGGGGAGACGCATGTTGGGGGGGACCCCACGACCGGGAGCCGGCGCTGGGAAGACTTGGCAAGAGTTAAACGGAGGTCCTGGAGTGGGGTGTGCGCGCGCGACTTCCCAGACCGAGGCGCCTCCCCGGCTCCCCGCCTCCTGCTCCCCCTTCGCGCTCCCCGCCCGCCGGGCTGCTGCGGAGGCCGCTTTCCAGGAACTTTCCAGGAATCCGCCTCACGTGACCGCGGCCCGAGCTACCGCGTTAAAGAGGCTCGGGCGTGCTAATGCCCAGGCTGGAGGGAGAGGGGCGCACAGTGCTTGGCTGCCGGGGGAGGGCATTCTAAGCCCCGGGTAATCCACCCTTCTGTGACACACACCCCCTCCATGGCAGCTCTGGGACGAGCCGGCGAAGTGCCCCCCAGCCCTGTTGGGGCGCTTCATTCGGCACCCCACCAGGACCTGCTACGCTGCAGAACCCTCGTCCTCCTTTGCCCTTGGCTCGTCACAGGACTGGGGAGGGGTGGGGGTGGCGGGAGAAGCATCGTTCCCATCCTCCCCAGGCCTTCTCTTCTCCACCCTCCAAGCTGCAGATTGTGAGAGAGGGCTCCTGGGGAGACTGAGGGGTTCTGCAAGGACCCCTGGCGCTCTAAGACACGTTCATGGGTAGAGGACTCCTGCCCAGCCCTCTGTGACCACCCACGCCCAGGGAACGGCTGGAGCGGGATAGGGACCGTCCTCTTCAGCGGGTCGGGGTCCTCGGAGGAAACTCGGGCCGAGAGCGAGGCTACAAACTGGCTACCAACGGCGCCTCCTTAAGGGGCGCCAAAGCGCTCTGTCCCCTCCCCCTGGCGTTTTGCTGCCGCCGGTGGCTGACACCCGCCCAGCCTGGCTCCTCCCTCCTCTCGGCTGCCTTTTTCCGGCTCCGGCCCACAGGCCTCACCCGCCCCACCCCCACCCCCACCCCGCCCCTGCACCTTTGGAGAGGATGCCTTTACCTGCACACGTGTGAGGCACAGGGCAGTGGGGCTCCGGGCGCGCTGTCTGGAAAGGACTCGTCTCCGCACTTCCCCGGAGGATGAGCACCTTGGTACCAGGAATTTAGAAGGATCTCGGCACCTCTTTCTGGCCGGGGACCCTCACCTCCTCCCACCCCCATAGAGGCTTCCAGGCCTTCGTTGGAAACTTGTCTTGCCTACACACCGGCCTCCAAAGTGTGACCTACTTTGAATGTGACCTTTTAAAGCATTCACACTCGTGGGAAAACCGGATCCAAAATTTCGATAACTATTTTTCTTTGAAACACTACTCTGTTGCATCACCGCTCAAAAGCTTGAAAGGTCAATGGCCACTTTAGTTGAAGCGGTGGCGGTGGGGGAAGTTGGGTTTAGAAGGGGAAGCCGGGCACCGGAGGAGCGTTTTTAAGCCTTGCATGTGCCCCCCCTGCTGGCGCTGGGAGGAAGCATGGACCAGCGCCTAGACTTCAAGGTTTGCTCTCAAGGACCAATGGATTCTTCAAATAATTTCTTGGGACAAATGGCTTTCTTAATATTTCCTGATTTCAAGTAAATAACTCCATACGAGGGGCTTTAAAGGGTTTTTTTTGGGGGGGGAGTTTGTGGAAATCTAGAATTAAAAATAAATGTTCTCATGAACTTTTTGAAGGCCCTGGTACAAATGAAGAGCCCTGGTGGCATAGTGGTTATTGGGTGGTGAACCACAACAGAATTTGAAATCACCAGCAATTTGAAACCACCAGCCACTCCATGAGAGGAAGATGGGGCTTTCTACTCTCACAAAGAGTTAAAGTCTCAGAAACACAGTGGTGGTCTACCCTGCCCTAGGGACACTGAGCCGGCATCTACTTGATGGTGGTGAGTTTGAGGTTTTGGTAAAAATTATGGAGAGCCTTCGTGGCGTTGTCTCTTGAGGTCAATGTCAGTGGCAACCACAATGTCAGTGGTTCAAATCCACCAGCCAATCCACAGAAGAAAGATAAGGTTGCCTGCCCCCAGTATGATTTACAAACCAATAGGTTAGGTTTGGAACAAACTATAAGGCTGGTGAGTTAGGTAAGGGATATTTTCCAGTTAGTAGGGGGCTTTGTCAACAATGCAGTCATATGCATACAATCTTGGGTTTTTTGAAAGTCTGGAGAGAGGAAGGAGGTCTGGTGGCTTAGTGGGTGTCATGCTGCTGACCACAAAGGCAGCAGGTCTAAATCGCCAGATGCTCCACAGGAGAAGAGGGGGCTTTCTACTCGGGTAAGAGTTACAGTCTCACAAAACCCAGAGGGACAGTTTAACGCTGTCTTATATGGTCGCCAGGAGTCAGAATCAACTTGGTAGCAGTGAGTTTGGTTTGGTTTGAAGGGGAGGGAGTCAGCTAATTAACCTCTAGTTCAACCTTTCTACAAACTAGTTGAATAATTGTTCACAATGTTATTTATCCTCATTGGGCTTTTGGGTCTTTTCATAAAAAAAAAAGGAGCTCTGAACTCAGATTCTGGTTGAGGGACTAGGGTGAATGAACATGCCACATTCCACGTGAATGTGTGTAGTTTTAAGAACCTCAATACTTTTAACAACCAAGACATCACGAGTTCTTTAAGTTCTGAATTATTCTTCTGTGGCTTCTCTTCCTTAATAGACAACATCAGGTGAAGTCTGTCCCCATTCTTTGGTTGTGTATGTTCATTACACTCGGTGTTCTTAATATTTTCGTGAAATAAAACACATTTCCACTTGGTTATCAGTTGGAATGAATCTTCCAGAACTCTTCCTTCTATACATCCATGTTGTTTCTTCAGGACCTCTGTAGAGAAGTACCTGTGCCTACTTCTCACATCAATGCCTGGCCAGCTCTCGTCTCCTCACCACAAGGAGTCATTGTCTGCAAAGATTAGAATGAGCCCATGCCAGCTATAGTGGCACCAAGCTTTGCCGCAAAATCACATTGCCTGCTTTCACGTCGACAATGGCTCCCACATGTTGTTGACCTTTGTAATCCACAAGAAAGACAAGGAAGCTGCTTGGGAAACTGCTTATGGCATCGTGGTAAGTTTGAAAAGAGGAAACTGGGAACTTGTTATCTGCCCTATAATCACAACATGATATAATTATGTCTGCACATAGAAAAGACAGACGGAAACATGGGAAGATGGATGCAGCCATTTGTAGGGTGACAGGCTTAAAGTGAATTTTTTTATCAGATTTTTCCTTACTACTATTCTAGCATTTTGGGTACAGTCATGATTTTTCCAAAGTTACATATGCATCACTGTCTTCGGTATTCGAAAGCATCGTTTCCCAAACTTAGGTTGTCTACCATCCCTTTTTCAGACAAAAGGCTACTTGGTGCACCCCCTGGCAATTAAAAACTTCTGTACTCTAGCCCATAAACTGAAAATATGAGCTCAAAAAGACAAACTCACTGCCATCAAATTAATTCAGGCGCATGGTGTCGGTATAGGGCAGAGTAGAACTGCTGTGGGATTGTGGAACTACGTCTTTCTGGGAGTCGTAAACCTCATCTTTCACTTGAGTACTAGTTCAGAACTGCTGCTAACTGCAGTATGTAATCACTACGTCGCCAGGGCTTCTACCCTAGCCCATGATCCAGGATAAAGTGTAGGCACCTGCTTTTGCAAGCCCCATGGACTGTTCCAGTGCCTCCCTCTTCTCCAGGTATCAACCACTTTGGAAAACACTAATCACCAGGCCAGCAGTTTGAATCACCAGCCACTTGAAGGGAGAAAGCTGT